GCGACGGTACGTTTCGTAACACAAGCTTCCCTCTCCAACCGCCAAGACCCTTTGGCAATTAAGCCATAAGATCCTTTCTTCTCCGGCTGCGCTTCCGCTTCGAGGAAGGGAGTATTCTTGACACAGTATACGTGGAGCTGTCGTGTGATTCAGTGGAAGATTGATCATTCGTGCCGATGCTTGACTGTTCTGGTGCAGGACTGCCCAGAGACAAGTATCGCTTCTCGACTTGATCAGCCCAAGAAGTCTGATTGGCGCTTGATGATTCAGAATCACTGTTGAACAGCTCGACAGTCCGTCCACTGCGAAGTACTGGTTGGTTTGAGGGACTCGGAGAAGTTCCTCGCTTCGCATTGCTGCCAGTGCTTGGATTCGAGGAATCAATACTGGAGTTCCGTGCATAGGCTGCCTTGGGATGCTTGGGTGATAACGAATCGGGGATTCGTCCTGCATTCCATCGGTCATTCTTGCGCAGTGGTCGCGCCCTTGATCGGTTACTGTATTCAGAAGTATCGTTCGCCCGAGGTGGCTTTGGACATTCAAATGCGTGATGTCCGATACGATTGCAGTTCCAGCATCGACCAGAGAACTGTCCTTGTCCAGGATGTGAACGGCGAGAATCTTCGCGAGTCCCTTTGAATGGCTGATTGATCCATTGGTTAATGGAAGGTGAAGACTGCTGGTCAGACTTGGTCGACTGCCGTTGCTTGGTCTTCTTCTGTTTGCCTTTCTGGTTAGGACACGTCTGTTCACGTTGGCTGGGCATGCTGTTTGCTGAAGAGGAAGACGTAGATGAAGTACTTTCATCGTTATCTCCTTGCCGGCTCTTGTCAAATTTTCTTTGGACAATGGCTTTGATTCCATGCCATTCTTTTTGACTGAGATCGAGCGATGACATAAGGACTTCCTTCCATATTGACGTAGGGAAGGCTGTCCGATCGTGATGTGATGAATGAGTTCGTATGGCGCCAATTCGAATGGTATTCATGCCAAGAATATGTTCAGACATTCGATCGATATCCATAGGTTCGTCATTATCTTCTTCGGCTTCCTTCTTCTTCTGATCGACATGGTGATCTTGACTGCTACCTCCGAGAAGAAGCTTGACAAGCTTTGCATTGACCAACTTTGTTACTAGTTGCTCAATCTGCTTTCGCATCTTCTTCGTGATCGACGGATCTTTTGAGGGTTCTTTTGATCCGGTAGACGCGCGCTCATCCTTCTTCTTAATTGAAGAAGTCTTCTTCTGCTTCTTCTTTGATACGGCCTGTACTGGCAGGGTTCGATCGATGTTTGGCTCCTTTGCGGGACATTGATCCATTTCGTGCCCTGGCTTCCTGCACCTATAGCATAGGCGTTTCTTGACCGGATGGCTCCGCACCTGTCCTATTCGTCGTGCCCTGTCGACGTCCATTGCATTGGGATCATCTATATCCATCGAGTCTCCTTCATTCATTGAATCGCCCTGATCCATATGCGTGATAAAATCGAAGATATTGCTTTTTCCCTTATGGACGTTTCGAAGGTCGTTAACTTGTCTTGCCACGTCGCAAGCATCCTCATATGTAGTTGGAGGATTCGGGGTAAGGAAGACTTTTTCTGCCAACTTCGATTCCAAGCCTCGCTTGAAATGGACGAGCTTGGTGTAATCGTCATCGATTTCAGCATAGCGAAATAGGATATCGAGATTCCCAATGTAATCGTCGACCTTTCCTTTCTTCTGCCTACACTGATTGTCGAGTAACGTTTGCCACGCTTGGTCCTTGGTTGCGACTCCTCCATACTTTTCTTGGAGTGTCATCCGAAAGTCGCGATAAAGTCCTAGATCATCCGATCTTCCTGTAGATGCGATCATCGCTGCTTCCCATGATTCGACCCATTTTGCTGCTGCCGAACCAGGTTCGAAGTGGGATAGGATGAACGTTATCTGACTATAGTCGTCGTTGTATATGTGGATGTTTGCCTGGAGATGTCGTTCTCCAGCCTGGAGGAATGACGTGAATGTTCGCTTATCTCCTGCGAACGGTCGGATCTTGCCTAGCTGTAATTCCTCCTTTTCCAATTCTGGTTGTGCAGAATTATACAGCGCGTAGAGATTCATTTCCAGGAGATATTCCTGCCACTGGAATTCCAGACATGTCGGTCCTGGATGCACTGGTGGTCCATTGGCTGGATCGTACCGTGCTTTGATAGGATTTTGACCAGTAGTTCCCAAACTACCTGTTTGCGCCATGGCCGACTGTGGCCTTATGGGTACTCCGAGTGACGTTACTGGCCTTTCTCCTTCCGAGGATGACCTTGTCAAAGGTGTCGTCCTGACTCCTTTCCATAATCCTAGCCCATCGTAAGGCTTCCTGGATGTTGGCGTAACGCTAGAGTTGCCACTCCTTAGTAAACTTGGATTGATGCCGAGAGGGTTCCATTCCTCCCGTCCTCTATCCTTGTTTGATCCTTCGGCGTCCTCTGGCCTCGGATCGACTTGTATCGATTCTCCTCTAGGAAGGTCCGTATGCGTTAGGAATTCGTCCTCGAAATCCTTTGCAATGTCCTTCCTATTATTGATTACTCGTTGAATTTCTTCAACGTCATGTTCGAGCTCTCGCAGCTCTTGCTGTTCTTCTGGGGTTGTAAGGTTCCCCAGCCGTTGTCGTCTTCGCAGTGCAATGGCTCGCGTATTCCTGACGTCTGCGAACCAATCTAATTCCTCATTGGTTGCATCGTTCCATGACAACGGCGTCATGTATCCTTTATCTCCTTGATAGCCTACCGGCTCATCTCCGGAGTCCGATTCGTATTCTTTGTTTTCGCGATACGACATCTTGCCTTTTCTTGGTGGCCCTTAACCAATTGTTCGTTGACCGCACAGGTTCGCGTCTTCACACAGAGTTCTTCTGGATAGTCACACGGACTATCGCTAGTTCCTTGAATCTTCTTGATTCCGAATTTGCCTTCCCTGGGAAGGGCTTTAGCACGTCTTCTACGTGTGCCTCAGATGAGGGCTTCTCTTCTGGATTACCACACAGATAACCGCTAGTGCTTGAGTTCGATGAACACACAGACTTGGTTGACCTACACAGGTTTCCCTTCCTTGTCGTACCAAGGAAACCACACAGATCCTGGAAGTGACCTCACAGGTCCTGATTCTTCTGTAGCGTCCAAGTAGACCCCACTTCTTGTAAGTGGTTCTAAACCTAAACAGGTTGACCTATAGAAAAACCTCTTCCAAATGTTATGAAGCGTTCCCTGTTAGAACGTTCAGAACCACGTGTGCTTTCTCACACGTACTAGTCCACAG